GTGTTAGAGTGGAAACTTCTGGCATTACCTTTTTCCAGCTGTCAGTGAATGACTCAGGCAAACCCGATCTGAACACAACGCGAGCTTATTTTTATAAGCTAACTTTGAACCTGCGTTGAACGTGTGCTTCAGCATGCATTTGCTGCACCACTTACCCTGCGATTTCCTCATGTCCTTTGAAGCTAGAGCACGGTTTCCATGCTTAAAAGGAATCAAATCCGTTGTCAAGTCATCTGGCCTCAGCTCTTGCCCCAGCGACTTCCAATCAAACGTAGTATCACAGACACCTTGACCAGCTTCATATCCACCTAAGAGACATTTCATAGAAAGTACGCATAAGCTGCACTATTCAAATACAATGTGTTTATGTTCATGTAAACAGCCTTTTTTACTACTTGGTTTAACCAACAAGTGAAACTAACGGAGTCAAAGAGGAGCTGACCTGCAGAAGGCTCACGACAGAAGATAAATCACTCTTTTCAACATTTCACTTTAATTAGAAATCTGCATCTTTGCTTCTTCGTTTGTCTTTAGACGTGTCAGTGACTAGAAATGAAAATCTGCAGTTAACATGAATGATGGGAGTTTAACTTGAAATTTTGACCCTGAAACTGGAAAATGTGGAAAGTTGGGCAAAAAGCTTCCCTTTTGGGTTATTTTCAGCCAAAGTCTAAGTAAGAAGTAAGAGTTTCAGCTTAACCACAGGCCTCACCCTCTTCCTGATGGGTATCTGCAGCAGCATAGACATTACTGGGCACTGCTGGCTGTTCAGGGCAACTGGAGGCCAACACGTCGTACAGTGGTCCTGAACCAAACTCTCTAGACTTCACCTCGTCCTGGCTGGATGACACACTGTTAACTCTACGGATAAAACAAACACAGACAAAAGAAAAAGACCACCAATGTCACAGCTGACTCTTGATCTAACTCTGAACTCATCCCATTGCTACCAGTTTAATACTAATGAATGTCACAGTTCAACTGGAAAGTTTCAGTGCGTGACTAATGAAACTTTCAACTGCAATGATGCCACAGGTTAGAGCGTATGAGCTACAGGTGTACTTTAGTGATTCAAGCAAGTGCCACTGCTCAGTCACAATCACAGGTGGCAGAGTGTTCAGGTAAACATCGAACTAGTCTCCAGATGAGTCGGTATAAAGTAAAGATAAACCACACGGGACTGTATGAAAAGCATTTGGTGCATATTCCAACTTATTGGGCAACTTTTTTAAGGGTAAACAGTCTATTGCATTTTTAATACAGCAGAGGGAACAACTGCATTAATCACATGGTATAATACTTACATCACATCATGGCATACTGTTAATCAGAAAGAATACAAACAAAAATAATCAACACAAACTTCATCATTTCGCTGTTGCATCCTCTCACAAAACATGAAGTGTTGCTTCGACATAACTGGTTGACTCAGTATTAGTGTCAGCTTAAAC